CTCTCTCTCTCTCTCTCTCTCTCTCTCTCTCTCTCTCTCTCTCTCTCATACACAGACGCGCACTGCGGTGCCCCCGTCCCGAAACATGTCCCATTACTCATGATTTGTGGCGCCCTGTGTGTACAGCGCGCGTACTACCCGACCACACACAGTGCCAGAGCACCCGCGGGGCGGCGGGGAGCGCCCAGTATACTCACGGGCGAGCACGAAGGCCATGGCGCACACGACGAGGAAGGGCGCCGGCTTGCCGAGGAACTCGTAGGCGACGCTGCCCAGCGGGTAGCCCAGCAGCACGCCCAGCGCGATGGAGCCCAGCACGAGGCCCAGGGCGCGCGAGCGCTCCGACTCCTCGGGGAACTGCTCGGCCACCAGGCACATGCCGGCCACGCCGATGCAGGCCGAGGCCACGCCCTGCAGGCTGCGGGCCACGAACAGCCCGGCGTACGACTCGCTCAGCGCGAACACTGCGGGCAGGAGAAAGAGAGAGCGTGACCAGACCAGGAGACATTGATGTGAACTGAAGTCGAAGTTGATCAACACCTCTTGAAGTTATCAAAATTGTTCATCCAAGTGAAAATATAAACATAAACCGTTGGCCGCGTGCTATGTTTGAACGTGTCTGTTGCGTGCGGCTGCGAGGCAGACGGCGTGGTTCCGCGGTGGCGCCTGGCCTATCCTACCCGTTTCCCCTCAAATCACCACTGTACTTGAGTCGGCGCGCCCCTTCGCGCGCACAATCTCGGTTCCGCCTCTGGATGTGGCAGCTGCTCGGTCCGCACCGCAGCGGCAGCAAGCAGCTGCCCCGCGGCGGCCGAGGCGTGCGGGCTGCGGGCCGAGGGCCGAGGCGGGGCCACAGGAAGCTCCTCTTGCTTGGCTGGCCGCGCTTACCGTCGCGCTCGGGCGACTGAAAGGGAATTCTCGTCCCCTCGGCGCAAAAAGAATGGAGGCAGGCAAACAGAGGGGAAGCTGGGGAAAAGGTTAAAAATAATACAACGAGCAAAGCCACAACAACGGCAGAGAAGCCTTGTGTGCGCCAGCATTGTATAGCCGCCCGTCTTGTACGACGTATTGGAAATTATTTTTGTTATTTCATTTTTCCGCTTCATCTGGCTAGGTGTTATACGCGCAGTACGGGCCACAAAGTTCCACCGGATTCGTTCACACCATGTATAAGCGGGAAGTTGTTGAAAATTGAATGAAATAAGCAACAATTAAGTTGGAAGATTCAAACAATGGCTTTCGCCCTGTGCGGTCAGCATAATATACTCACGCATGGATGCGAGGACGAGGTTGATGCTGCCCGCCAGTAGGGGGATCCTGGTGCCCAGGGTGGCCGTCAGCACCCCGACGACTGGGTTGGCCGCCAGCTGCACCCATGCCTTGGAGGACAGCAGCAGCCCGACGCGGCCGCCCTCCTCGGAGCCGTCGTCCTCCACGGCAGCAGCCAAGGCGACCGCCGCCGCAGCCGCCTGTCGAGCCGCGGTTCCTGCTTAACGGAAAATACAGTCAGTCGGCGGCAAGGCGGGCCCCAGCCCCAAACGGACTGGAGAGGAAGGAATTATGGCCCTTCTTTAGATTTCTCAAGAAGTCCTGCCTAAATTGACGAAATGAATTATCGTCCTCGAGCTCGAGGCTCTCCGCTTTTGCTCCGTTCCACCGCCGTTCACTGCCGAGGCCCCATAGACCACGCCTTGACTCTTTCTTACTGCCGATTCCTTCTCCTCCCCTTTCTCTCTCGCTCTCTCCATCGCTCGCTCTTTCTACTGCTCTCTCGTTCTCTCTCTCTCTCTCTCTCTCTCTCTCTCTCTCTCTCTCTCTC